AAAATGGAGGTCAGTGGGGCAGCCAGGATGACCAAGACAGAGAGCAAAAGGACACCTAAGACTTTCTGCAGTGAACCGGCCTTTTTTGACTCCCGGCCAGGTGGCGTGGAAATCCTTTGAGGGCAAAGCACTGCAGAGATTAAGTGTGGCCTAACTAGTTAGGAAGCTTCTCTCTCACACTCTCAAAACACCCACTGAGATCTTGTAAAGTTACGATAACTGAGACAAGCTAGAACATGTTCGCTTAATACAATATGGACTCTACTGCTGTGGAAATGTGAGCTGTTTTGTGTGCTAAATACTGTTTGGCCTGTCAGTTTAGCCTGTTTTTAAGAGCTTGGAGAGGGAAGAGTGGTTGAAGAAGCTTTTACTTCAGTCCTTTATTTGTAAAGCATGCAAAAAGTCTCACTTCTTTCTGTCGTGGAGGTGGTAAAATGGTATGAAAATATGCTGGTGAGCTAACGGTTTACAAAGGTACAGCAGAAACCATACTGAGACCCATTTGATCACAAACTAACTTCACTTCCTTACAATTAATGTCTTTACCTTCTCTTTCTTAAGCGATCTTACCATTTAATTTCTTTGTAGTGGAAACTAAACATGCTGACGTGAAGAAAAATATGATTTTTAGTCTTTTTATCAATATTTTGTTGGAATTTTAATATTTAAAAAATAAATTTAAAATCATTTAAAAAGAAAATTAATTCTGTGTGTGTGTGTGTGTGTAAAATGTATATTTTTGTAGTAATAAATTTTATGAAGAAGATGGTTTTGAAATCATTTTGACATTTGATTGTTCATTTTTGCTGTATAACACAGGACTGTACATCTAAGGTTTGAGTAGATGTCTTTAAAGGTTCATGTGAACATTTCTTTGTGTCTCTGGCAAACAGTTAAGAGTTCCTTTAGCAGATTAGCTGTTAAGGAGCTTTAGATGCTGTTTTCAATATCAACATCACCTCAGAAAACCTTTTGTGGGAGTGTTTCAGCATGTGAGCTGCCAAAGAGCTTTATTTCGAGTGTACTAATCAAGGACTTTTGACCTTGGTGAAGGTAAGAGCAGATGGTTATGTGTTTATCAAAGACAATGTTTTGTTTACTTTTTTGTATTTTATTTTATTAATTTAGCTTGGTTGTATTTGGAATGTGAATATTTTAAAACTTAATTTTGAATGAAGTTATAAGAATTTGGAGTGAAAATGTGCTAAACTAATTGAATATGAATGTCATGAATATAAAATGAAAATATTGTAACAACACAAAAAAAATCTTAATGGGAAAAAACAATAGGCTGTTGAAAAGATTATATTTATGTAAATATCAGCTACAATTATTTATTTTTTTTCAGATTTTAGTAAGTTCCTCTTCTGACTGCCACTGGAAGGAAGTTCACTGTAATCTTATTTGAGGTGATAAGTTCAGTAAGGCTTTCCTATTAAGAAGATAGGAAAATTGTGCAGCCGAATGGCAGATAACATGGGAATTAAGAAGAAAGAAATGTACTGGTCTTTGATGCCATCTTCTGGAAGTTTTACTTGATTGCAACTCATAGTCAATAAAAATTAGTTTCTGTTTCATACATTTCTGTTTTTAGAGTTAGAGAGTAGAGTAATGTAATGAGTATGTATGTATATATTATAATGTGTATATTGTGATTGATGATAAGCTGAATTTCTTTATTTTCTATTAATTTTCTACACAGAAAGAGTACACAGAAACAGAAAGCAATGATAAACAATGTGTGTCAATACTAATAAAATAAGGTACAAAGCAACTACAAAAAAAACATGAACAAACAATGCACAGTCAGAATAATAAGAACTAATAATAATAAAATATACATACATATAAATAAATATTAATCCGTTATTCAAGCTGTTTATGATATTTGTAAAACAACCTTCAGAAATCAAGCCTTACTCCTTTCCCATCAACTATCAGGACTGAGTAAAGAACAATTCTCTGTAATATACTGAAAGAGGGAGCCCCACAGCTTTCCAAACTTATTTGAGCATTTCTTGAGGGGCAATCGTATCTTTTCTAATTTAATAAAATAAAGAACATCTGATAACCAAGGAGAATGTGAAGGGGGTGTTTTAGATTTCCAGTTCAGCAATATTAGTCTCTTAGCCAACAGAGTAACAAAGGCAATTGCATCCTGTTTAAGAATTGACAAGGATGGTACAGAGGGGCAAATTCCAAACATAGCAGTGAGAGCATTCGGTTCAATTCTTTCCCCTGTAATAAATGATAAAGTTTCAAAAATGTTTGTCCAATAATTATACAATGAAGGGCAAAGCCAAAACGTGGATCAGGTTTGCCGGAATTTGACAACATTTGTCACATGCTGGAGAAACACCTTCATAAATCCTAGCCAATCTAGCTTTTGTAAAATAGACACGATGCACAACTTTACTCTGAATAAGTGAATGTCTGGCACGTATAGATGATCCGTGTACCCTGTTGAGGATCTGTTCCCATAGTTCATCTGATATCTCCTCTTCCACATCATCTTGCCAAAGAGCCCTAATGGAGTCTAAAGACTCAGGACATAGGCCTTTTAAAGTACATATCGGAATGAAAAAACTATTCAAAGGGGTATCATTAGGCAGGAGAGGAAAATTTGAAAATGTGGCACGAGCAAAACTACGAATTTGTAAGTATCTGAAAAAATGCTGCTTTGGAAGTGAAAATTTCTCTCTAAGCTGTTGAAAATAAGCAAAAGTGCCATCAATATATAAATCATGGAATGAGTTAATGCCACAACTAGACCAAGATAAAAAGCCACTGTCCAACAATGCTGGGTTTTGCAGAATTTGCTTCCATCATAAGACATGGGGGAAGAGACTCTAAATTCTTATAATAAAGCCAACATTTTAAGGCCCTAATATTGGTGGCCCAATAATAGAACCTCAGATTATGAGTAATGCCAGACCTCCCAGTGACTTGGGTCTCTGTAGATACAGTATGCTTTATGTAACCTGGGGACCTTTTTATTCCATATAAAGTCCAGTATCTTGGAGTCTAAATCTCGAAAAAATTTCTGTGGGAGAAACAGGAATGCATTGAAACAAATATAAAAAACGTGGGACAACCGACATCTTAACAGCATTAATTCAAGCAGCTAAAGTGAGATTCAAAAGAGACCATCGTTCAAAATCCTCTTTAGTTCGGGACAACAAAGGAGACCAATTTGCTTTGAATAAATCTACATATTTATGTGTAACATGTATTCCAAGATACGTAAAACTAGATGAAGATATTTTAAAAGGTAGGGTATTTAAAGGAAACGTTTTTGCTAATGTATTAAAGGGGTCATATGATGCTTTTTTAAAGATCATTATTTTGTGTATTTGGTGTAACAGAATATGTTGACATGCTTTAAAGTTAAAAAAACACATTATTTTTCAAATACTGTACCTTATTGTAGGTCCTCTATGCCCCGCCTCTCTCAAACGCATCAAGCGCAGTCTGCTCTGATTGGCCAGCTGACCCAGTGCATTGTGATTGGCCGAACACCGCAAGCACTCATCGGAAATGTAACGCCCCTTACCATAATCGCAAGCTTCATCTTTCAAAATAAATGTAAAGACAGAGCCCGAAAGTGGAACAGAGTCTCGTGACCGACACAGTGGTGAAGCTGGTATATGTTTGTAGTACACAAGCCACGGTTAAGACAGCTGACTCCACAGTGATGTTACCCTCTCTCTCTCTCTCTCTCTCACACACACACACACACGATGCGCACGATGCCCAAAACTCTGCATTTGAACAGTCAATAGCAAATACTTCAACTAATAACAAAACAGATGTGGGGGCGTGTTAGAGCGAGCCATTTTAGTGGGGCGTGGCAGAGTCTTAACTTTGATAAAGAATATCTCTTTGGTTTTGAGACTTTAGTCTTTGCAACTTCAGGGATCTTATCTATGCACAATCAGCTTGTAACACTCCAAAGAGAAAGGAAAACTTGAAATTGCATCATATGACCCCTTTAATAGGAAATATTAGGCTTTTGGATCAGTTTAATTTATATCCAGAAATTTGACCAAAGATCAAAGTGTGTCTAAGGCAGCAGGGACAGAATTAGATGAATTAGAAACATAAAGAAGTAAATCATCTGCATATAAAGACACTTTTACCTCAACATGATTCCTAACTATCCCAGTAATGGCACAGTTAGATCGAAGGGCGATAGAGAGGGGTTCAATAAGCTGAATTTCTCAGACCACATTGCTAAAACTGCCCTGTCCTGCAACCATTTACCTAAATTCATTACTTCACACAAGAGTGGTCAGGTGTTAATTTGAACTCCAACATTCAAAGTCTCACAGTACTACGTGGCATACTTGATGTGGTGTACTGAAAAGTAGCTAAATAAACCAGCAGACCATGCATTTACAGAAAAGAATGTTATTTTAACAACATAAATTATTATACACAGCAGCAAGCCATCTGTACATAAAAAACAACAACTCTTAATCTATAACTAATTAATTGAGGCATAATGATATTGGAATATACTAGCAAAGACCCCAAAGGTAGGCAAAGGTAAATAATGTTAAGCTGTTATTAGTACCAAGTTTATGAAACAGAGTTGTTTTATTACAAAAAAATATATACCCAGGAAAGTTATTTTTACACAGAAGACAAACATTTTAATCTAAAATTCTATTTATAGGATTTTCTGCTATTTATACAACTTATTGCAAACAAATAATTACATTATAAAACAGTATGCAATAATAACGTATTGAGTGTAAATTTAAATTATTAAATGGATGCCACCTCCTACACCTACCCGATACCTTATTTTCAACTTTTTGATTATTTCCTTCATTTTCATTGAAAATAAATGCTTTTCTGATGTTATTTGAAAAGGGAGAAAAAAGCTTGCCAAATGTAGGATTTGAACCTGCGTCAATCGCGTTAAAGTGAGAACATTACACGTTTTAACCTCTGCGCCACTGGAGCTGACGAATATCAGTTATCGACTCTTTTTTTGTATTGTTCACTATCCGAATCACATGTTGGCGGGCGGAGTTACTGTGAATAGCCTCTGCCAACAAGGCGGGCTATTTGCACGTATAGTGTAAATAGATACTCTGAAAAAAATCAAGCCATTTCATGTACTCTTGGGGGCCCCCTGGTGGTCACGGGGCACTAAGCAGCCGCTTAGTTCGCTTGGGCCGGCTCAATTTTGCTAAATATTCAAGTAATACTACAATGAATATGACTGTAAATTCATGTCATTCTTCTATTGCATTTTGTCTATCATTATTATTATTATTATTATTATTATTATTATTATTTGTTTTAATCAATAAAATAAAGCAGGCCATTCCCATTAAGTTTAGTGGCATTCTTATTCTTCATATGTCACTACAATCACTATATATATATATATATATATATATACACATACAGTATGTGTGTGTATGTATGTATGTGTGTGTGTGTGTGTGTGTGTATAAATATATATATTGTTTTAGGATCAATTTAACCCCAATTTGAAGAACCAGTAGTGACCGTTAGCTTTCAGTTTTTGTATTTATTTATTTGTTTATTTTAAATTAAGTTATTAATCAAATTTGACACTAAAATAGTTACTTTTTTTTTATTTAGCCCCATGGTTCTCTGAATGTCAAGTCACCTTTTTCTAGCGCTTTATTTTAGACAACAGTGCCATTATTTAGCTCAAGTCAGTTCTGTGTTGGTTCTGTTCAGATCAATAACAGTGTAAAGTTAATCAATAAGTACAATGGGGCTGAAGGCCGCAATATGATGGTTAATACTGACAATTTCTTTTCATTTCCTTTCCCCCAATGATTAGTGCCGTTAGACACTCAATCCAACAGATGGCGCTCTTAACCAATAACGCTGTCAATCATCTCCCAAAAGCGCCGAAGAAGCCGTTCATCCCGCCGCCGCACAGAGCAACAAACCCAAGCTGGCGGACTGCACGCGAGAACAACTATCGCTTCCTAAATAACATCCTACTGCAGCCCACATTACATCTGTGCTTTAATACTGTGACGCGTTTGAAGACATTTCGAGCGGATACAGCGGGAGGAGCAGCAAAACCGCCGTTATTCATTGAAAGCCCTTGGTGAAGTCGGACACGCTGATGGCGGCGACAGTGGAGGAGCTCTACCGTAACTACGGCATCCTCGCCGACGCGAAAGAGGATCTCAGCAAAGTAAACAAAGCCTCATATCTCTGTGTTGTCCGTCTAGACTCTAGAGGAAAAGTGCTCGTTGGATATTCAGTTTGGGTGGGGGTTTATTCATCGAAAGACTCTAGTGCATCTACGCGGCCTCCTCTAACGCACGAGCACATTAGCGCTAATAGCTGAGCAGGGATGTGTGGGGGTTTGAGTAAATAAGCTAACAGGGCCATATGCAAGCTTTTGGGGCAGCTGTGTATGCAGAAAGGTTTTTTTCTGTTTGTATCTGATGAAATGCGTTGGTTAAATTTGAGGTTTGTTAAAAAAAAAAGACTCAGAGATTCTGATGAATGATTTAACAGCTTAGGATAAGCTTACACGAGGAAGGATGAGTGAATGTACATAATGCAAATCTGCTAGCTTTTTCCTTACTTTGGGTGCATTAATCTGATTAAATGTTCAGATGTGTAATATTACATGTAATATCGTGTCATTTATATTATATCAAGTTATATTTAAATATTACCCGTTTATGTGTTCTAATATATATAATTGTATTTGATTTTATTATCTATATATATATATATATATATATATGTACTACCAGTCAAAAGTTTGGAATAATTAAGTCTTCTATGTTCACCAAGACTGCATTTATTTGATAAATTACAGAAAAACTATTTCAGAGAACTATTCTATTTTAATATATTTTGAAAAGTAATTTATCCATATGATGGCAAACTAAATTATTATTGGTCCACAATTATTAGAAATAGGTCTTATTATTATTATTACTGTTGAAAAATTCTGCTGAAAATTCAGCTTTGCATCACAGGAATAAATAGCATTTTAAAATATATTCTAATAGAAAATAGTTATTTTAAATTGTAATAATATTTCACAGTATTACTCTTTTTACTATATTTTTGTTCAAGTAAATGCAGCCTTGGTGGGCAAAAATATTACATTTTACTTCAAAACAGTATTTGATTTTTTTTTCTATATATATATATATATATATATATGTACTACCAGTCAAAAGTTTGGAATAATTAAGTCTTCTATGTTCACCAAGACTGCATTTATTTGATAAATTACAGAAAAACTATTTCAGAGAACTATTCTATTTTAATATATTTTGAAAAGTAATTTATCCATATGATGGCAAACTAAATTATTATTGGTCCACAATTATTAGAAATAGGTCTTATTATTATTATTACTGTTGAAAAATTCTGCTGAAAATTCAGCTTTGCATCACAGGAATAAATAGCATTTTAAAATATATTCTAATAGAAAATAGTTATTTTAAATTGTAATAATATTTCACAGTATTACTCTTTTTACTGTATTTTTGTTCAAGTAAATGCAGCCTTGGTGGGCAAAAATATTACATTTGACAGGTATTATTACTATTGTTACTCAATGCTTCTTGTATTAAACATATTGAACTTATTAAAATATAAACGTATTTTAAAGAAACATTGCTAGCATTTATAGTTGTAATGTTCAAATTTTCATAAAAATTTTAATGTATTATCATGAAAAGCCACTTATTTTGGTCTATTTTTAAAATTGTTTTTCAGCACAAAGATGCTTATCAGGTCATTCTGGATGGAGTTAAAGGAGGTCCAAAGGAGAAGCGACTGGCTGCGCAGTTCATTCCCAAATTTTTCAGCAGTTTTCCAGAGCTGGCCGATGCAGCCATCAACGCACAGCTTGATCTGTGTGAGGATGAGGATGTATCTGTGAGTAAATCATCATCATGTCAAGAGATTTGCATGTTGTGGGTCTGAAACCGGAAAACAAATCTCTACATTATTGGTTCATCTTTCCTGGTTTCCTGATTATAGATCAGAAGGCAGGCTATCAAAGAACTGCCCCGTTTCGCAGCAGGAGAGAATTTACCCAGAGTCGCAGACATCCTCACACAGCTGCTGCAGACAGGTCTCACATCTACTAAGAACCTGGTTTTTAGGCAGTGTTAACAAAGTTCCTGCATTTCTGCATAAACTAGTGCAACTAAATAACATACTGTTTTTCCAGCTGTTTGATCATAGTAGTTTCTTCTCATATCTTCTAGATGATTCTGCTGAATTCAGTCAAGTCAGCACAGCTTTGATCTCTATATTCAAAATTGATGCAAAAGGTATCCATGTTCATTATACCCTCAATGCTTTATGGATAGAATGTGTTTTCTGTTAATTATACATACAAAAATACTGACTGTTTTTGTGTTGTGTCTGCCAGGACGAGTTATTGTCCTCTTTGACCCTGCCATCTTTCTTTACAGGAACTTTGGGAGGCTTGTTCAGTCAGATCCTGCAGGGAGAAGATATTGTTCGGGAAAGAGCGATTAAGTTTCTCTCTACTAAGTTGAAAACAATGCCGGATGACACAATGACAAAAGAGGTGGAGGATTACATCTTCACAGAGACAAAAAAGGTATCATTCATATTTCCGTTTTCCACACATACACTACCGTTCAGAAGTTTGGGGTTGGTAAGATTAAAATCTTTTTGAAAGAAGACTCTTGTGCTCACCAAGACTGCACTTATTTGATCAGTACAAACAGTAATATTGTGTGAAATTATTACCATTCATAATTGTTTTCTATGTAATTCATTCCTGTGATGCAAAGCTGAGTTTTCTGCATCATTACTCCAGTCTTCACAGTGTCACACGATCCTTCAGAACTCATTCTGATATGATTTGATGCTCAAGAAACATGTCTTATTATCAATTTTGAAAACAATTGTGCTGCTGTTTTTGTGGAAACCGTGGTACATTTTATTTATTTTATATTTTGATGAATAGAAATGTTCAAATAACAGCATTTTATTTAAAGTAGAAGGTTAGTTCACCCAAAAAAGACAATTCTGTCATTAATTACACACCCTCATGTTGTTCTAAACCCGTAAGACCTTCGTTCATCTTCGGAACACAAATTAAGATATTTTTGATGAATTCTGAGAGCTCTCTGACCCTCCCATAGACAGCAATGTAATTACCACGATCAAGGAGATCTGTAAAATAATCCATGTGACATCAGGGGTTCAACCGTAATTTTACTAAACTACGAGAAACCTTTTTGTACGCAAAGAAAACAAAAATAACGATTTTATTCAACAATTTGTCTCCTCCGCGTCACCCTCGTACCATTTTGGAGAGTATCCACTGAACGTAAACGGAGTATGCTATTCTGTTTCAGCTGTGTCACCTTGATCGTGGTAATTACATTGCTGTCTATGCAGGGTCTGAGAGCTCTCAGAATTCATCAAAAATATCTTAATTTGTGTTCCGAAATTGAACGGAGGTCTTGCGAGTTTAGAACGACATGAGGGTGAGTAATTAATGACAGAATTTTCATTTTTGGGTGATCTAACCCTTTAATTACCTGAACTAACCTTGACTTTCAAATAAAATTTTTAAGAGACTTTTAGATCTTGACACAGTCCTCTCTGTATCATTTCTGTATTGTTGCACCACATCATTTTAAAGTAGTGTTGGGCGATATGGTCATTTTTCAAATCGTCATATCGCCAGCCTGTGAGAGCGGCGATAGACAATATTATCGTGCATGGGTGGGTGGGGGCAAGAGAGAGACTCTCTGTATTTGTCATAGGCTATTTCATAACTATTTGGTGTTTTAAACCGCGCTCGCGTGTGAGAGCGTGGAAACACCAGTAATCTAAATAATATACTTTCAAACATACTGATAAACTAACATGTTAAATATAAAAATATTTCAAACAGCTAGTTCATATATATATATATATATATATAATATTTGTATTCATATTCGGATTCAACAGTCATACATTGCTATTAGGATCGCCCGTCCTGTGAGAAGGAAGTTATCAGTCTGGTAAGTTAAGGTCTGCAAAATCAGTTAACTGTAAAAATCAAAGGTAGATTTATTTTAAAGACCAATAGTTTAACACTAAATATTGGACATAAACACGTTGAATATAAAAGTATTTAAAACAGGTAAAATCATATATTTAGAGTAAAGTTAAATTAAACAGATACATCAGTCATTCAGCACTCTGGACCGCACCTGACGCGCCGCCACAGAAACAAGAATGAGATGCTTTCTAACATAACTATAGCATTAAACTCAGTTAGTGAGGGCTCGGTTAAAATATTGCACATATATAGGCCGTTCAGATTACTTGTAAAAGTGCAATGAAACAGGCCTACCTTATCTCAGCAGACAATGTACGTCTGTGTTTGTGGTTGGAGACTTCTTCACCGGCTACAGGCTCTAATCCTTGTGTGCGTGTGTGAAATGTGGTGCTGAAGTGAAATAGCGGGGCAAATTTGATGATAAGCCGAATTATAATAGGTAGCCTAATAATAATTGAATACGTTAATTGGAGAATGAGCCTAATATCGTCTTGACTATCGACAAAGACATCTGCTATCATCTATCGGCACAACCCTATTTTAAACATTTATTTATTTATTTTTGCCTTGAATTGTTCTCACACTTGACCTGTCACTGTCTCTGATAATCTTAGGTCCTAGAGGATGTGACAGGAGAGGAGTTTGTGCTTCTTGTGCGTATCCTGTCCGGACTGAAGAGCATGCAGACTGTGAGCGGGCGGCAGCAGCTGGTGGAGCTGGTGGTGGAGCAGGCATTTCTGGAGCAGGTGCTAAACCCCACAGATGCAGACAGCGTCGACCGACTCCTGCAGTGCACACGCCAGGCCTTACCACTCTTTTCTGTGAGTCAGCAATAATATAATATTTCTCCAGTAATATTCAGCTGTTAAATTTGTCACTTTCTGACAAAAACTTGGATGTCTGAATGAATTGCTCACAAAATTAAGAATAAGTGCCAAGAAAAAAATGGATGTAGTCACAGAATTTTATTTATATAATCATTTCACAAAACAAAATTGTTTTTATTATTAATATTAATATTATTATTATAGTTTCATTGAATATATTATACCAGCACTAATGCAAATAATACAAATCATAATTATAAACTTTTCTCATCTCTCCTCCAGAAAAATGTGCATTCCACTCGCTTTGTGACATACTTCTGTGAATTTGTTCTGCCCAACCTCAGTCTGCTCACCAGCCCTGTAGCAGAATTGGACATCCAGCTGGAGGTGTGTATCACATGCTGGCAATCATGGAATCATTTCTGCGTATTAAGCTTGTATACGAGTTTTGTTTTTTTTTTTAACGTGGAGAAAAAAAAGCACATCTTTATTTATTTTTGCCCAGATATTTGTAGAATGCAGGAAAATAAACTCAATATTTTCTGCTTTACAGGTACTCAAGTTATTAGCAGAGATGAGTCCGTATTGTGGCGACATGGACAAACTGGAGGTCAATCTCAACATGCTGTTTGAGAAGCTATTGGTAAAGACATACTTTAAACTCCTGACCTCACGCAAGAATTTAAATTAATAGTATAACCCAGTGTTTCCCAACCTTTTTTTAGTCGCGGCACCCTTTGGAAATTTTAACAAACTTGTGGCACCCTACAAAATTAATTTTGTCACAATATTTGAATTTCTAACTTCGATATGATAATTTGAAAAGTATAGATATGCGGTACAACGGGGAAGAACTGCAGAATATAATGTCATACAGATATTTTTAATATTATAAAAAAATTGTGTCCATCAATGGTGGCAATCAGTAGGCTAATTTCTAATGAAGAGACCAATTTATATGACCGATTTTAATGTAGGCTTTTATACATATGTAAACATTATTTGTTTACCATTATAACTAACTATCTTACAAATTTTTGCTCACTCAGTGTTTTTTTTTTATTGTACAGTGGGGTCATTTTGTTGCAGTAGCACGAGATTGCTTGATTTCAAACTTTGAAATGAATAAAAAATGACAAGTAAGCAGTCAGTAATAAAATAAGAACAAATAAAGAAATGAATAATGATAGCACAAATAAAAAATAACGACATGCCTTCGAATTAAATAAATTGCTTTTTAATTTTTCAGGTAGATCTAACAGTAGGGTTGAGATATTTAACTCAGCGTTACCAGAGTTGCCCATATACCACACCATGTTACAACACAGTAGGGCTATTGCAGACAGAAACAATACTGTACTACATCGATGTTTCCTGTCGGCTCAATTTTTGAGTGGACTTTGCTGTTCCGATGAGCATGAATGGTATACGAGTGGAGCGAATGAGCGGAGCGCACACGCATAGAGTGGGTTAACGGATAATACGCAGAGCATCACACCCATAGGGTCAGACCCCGTGAAAGTGAAACCTGAGCGGTGAACTCATTTTCGGCAGCCAAAATTTCGGTGCATCTCTAATTATTGGCGACATCAGAAATGGATATTATATAATAGATGCTTTTTTTGAACATTTTAGCAATTTAAAAATATAAAAAATGATTTTTTTACACTGCACCCCTGCTCTCGACAGACGGCACCCCAGTTGGGAAACATTGGTATAACCTGGTCTTGCTACTTTCATCTCCGTAATATTGCTCGCCTTCGTTCATCTCTCACTCCACACAGTACTGCCATTCTAGTTCACTCACTTGTCACCTCTCGCATCGACTACTGTAATTCTCTTTTATTTGATTTATCACACAAGCTTCTCCATAAACTCCAGTTGATTCAGAATTCAGCTGCTCGTATCATAACCCGGACTCCATCTATACAACACATTACTCCATCTCTTAAACAGCTTCATTGGCTTCCCATCAAATTTCGCATTGAATTTAAAATTCTTCTTCTCACGTATAAAGCTCTCCATAACCTCACTCCAACTTACCTCTCAGATCTTATTCAGCCCTACACCCCTTCTCGAACCCTTCGTTCTTCCTCACTGGGTCTTCTCCATACACCCACGGCTCGTTTAACCACCATGGGTCAGAGAGCCTTTAGCCGTGCTGCTCCTCGCCTTTGGAATTCTCTCCCAGCTAACATCCGCAACTTAGATTCATTATCCCAATTCAAAGCTAAACTCAAAACTCACTTATTCCGAATAGCTTATCCTACATGATTACTGGCTACACTCTTTCATTGTTTGTTTTTTTACTGCTCCTTTTCTTTTTATGGTTCATTGATATTGCTGCTTATTGTTATTTATTGCTGTTTTATTTATTGTTCATGATGTACGGTGACCTTGAGTGATTTGAAAGGCGCCTTAAATAAAATGTATTATTATTTAATCGTTTAGCAGACGCTTTTATCCAAAGCGATTTACAAATGAGGAGAACAGTAGAAGCAATCAGACCAACAAGAGAGCAACATTATACAAGTGATGTCTTAAGTCTTATTTAGTCTAGCACAGTACACATAGCAAGGTTTCTTTCTTTTTTTTTATAAATTAGAAAAACAAATAGAATAGGTAAGTGCTAATATTAATTGGTCAAGTACTGACGAAAAGTAAAAATTTAGAAAGCTTTCCACTTCAGCTGCTTTGTTGTTAAACATCATCTCATGCTGTGGTTCTGCATCTGTCTGTTCCCTAATGTCTCTAGGAGTTCATGCCCCTGCCTCCAGAGGAGGAGAACGGAGAGAATGCTGCCAATGAAGAGCCCAAGCTGCAGTTCAGCTACGTGGAGTGTCTGCTCTTCAGCTTCCATCAGCTGGGCAAAAAACTACCTGACTTTCTTATTGACAAAATCAGCACAGAGAAGCTGAAGGACTTCAAGATCAGGTCAGATCTCATATTAATCATCAAAAGGACAACCGTGATATTAAATGTTGGTATTGAAAACATTTGAAATCTTGAAACATTTGCATCATTACTAGAGTCTTTATATAGAGAAATGTAATAGTACCAATACTAATGGGGTTTCATGATCCTCAATACCACAGCAAAAACAAATTCTTTATTTTTCTACTTTAATATACACACTACTGCTCTCTCTCTCTCTCTCTCTCTCTCTCTCTCTCTCTCTCTCTCTCTTTTTAAGGAAATTAATACTTTTATTCAGAAAGGATGCATTAAATCAATCAAAAGTGACAGTAAAGATATTATTAATGATACAAAAGCTTTCGGTTTCAAATAAATGCTGTTCTTTTGAACTTTCTATTCATAAAAGAAACCTGGAAAAACAAAAATATTAAGCTGCACAACTGTTTGATAATGATGATTATTTTAATAAGAGGAGATAATTGATGATAAAAAGAAATGTATCTTGAGAGCATCAAATCAGCATATTAGAATGATTTCTGAATGATCATGTGACACTGAAGACTGGAGTAATGATGCTGGAAATTCAGCTTTTTTGCATCACAGGAATAAATTACATTTTAAATTATATTAAAATACAAAGCAGAATTTTTTAATTGTAGTATTTTAAAATATTTCTGTTTTTACTGTGCTTTTGGTTAGAATAAGAGACTTGAAAAATCTTATTGTATTACTTTGTGATGGGCAGGTGAACAGTGGGCATTAAATGTATTATTTTTTTGTTGTTTATTTCACAGGTTACAGTACTTTGCACGGGGGCTCCAAGTATATATTCGACAACTGCGTGTTGCTTTGCAAGGCAAGACTGGAGATACATTAAAGACAGACGAGGTATGATATTATACTTTTTACACTGATCTGTGCTTTGTAAAATTAATAGAAATAAAGGTATGTATTTACTTTATTTATTTATTTGTCAATTTACCTAATGGGTTTCAAAAACCCTGGAAAAGAATGCTGAAAGACGTAATATGTATTCCAATTTTGTTTCTTCACAGAATAAAATCAAAGTTGTGGCTTTGAAGATCACCAACAACATAAATGTTTTAATCAAGGTAACATTCATGAATTCTGACCGTTTTGAAAGTCTTCGCGGCTTTGTCCAATTTTGATCTAATTTGTTTTCTTCTGTCTTCTCCAGGATCTGTTTCATAACCCTCCATCCTATAAAAGCACAGTCACTCTGTCCTGGAAACCGGTGCAGAAGACAGAGGCAGCATCAATCGGGTACGTGAACAGATCAACCTTGGACATTCAGATCACCATGTTTAGTCTGCTTATAAAAGTTTTTGCCATGATCTCTGTTTGTCCTACAGCCAGAAGAGGCAGTCAGGAGAAGACATTGGGGCAACAGCCACAACAAAGAAGCTTCCCACAAATCTGCCCAGGAGGAACGCCCGACAAATATACAATCCGCCCAGTGGGAAATACAGCGCCAGCATTGGGAACTTCTCTTACGGTGAGTATCTTATCAAAACTTAATCGCTAGTCCTGTTTGAATTAGTATCTGTACATATAAATGATCTCATCTGTGCCATCAGAACAACAAGGAGGCTTCAGGGGTGGCCGAGGACGAGGCTTCGGAGGAAGAGGCAACAGAAGCCGAGGCCGGATTTATTAAGAGGACTGCATATGCTTCTATACCCATGCAACTGCATTACCACAACACATTATCTTTGACAGTTTCTCCCGTCTGGTCCTTCCTGCATCTTACAGCCCTCCATCCATCCTTTTTCTCTCCACATTTTTTCTTAATTTTGTTCTTGGGTGTGTTTTTGAAAATCCATTCTCAGCCTCCTGTCATTGGTTATCCCGTTGGTTACAAATGTGTGGCTTGTTTTTCTTTCTGGATCATCTTTGTGGAACAAAAAACTGCCAAGGTGTGTTTTCCTTCCTTTTTTAAAGTTTTTGTATGGTGACATGCATCCTTTGTGTCTTTTCTTTTTTTAACTTTTTAATTTTTCAGAGTTTTTTGTTGGATCAAAAAATCACAGATTTGTAAGAAGTAAAAAAATTATCCTTCTGAATTTTCTCAAACTTATATGGGTCAAATCTTATGCTGTCTTTCTTAATTCAGGACATAAATATTTAAATTTGTATGACACCCCTTATGCCCACTGTTTGTTTGTTAACTTAATTATATTAAGTTAAAATATGGGGGGGGGGGGGTTCCAAAACAAATAAAATATTCCACAGAAATTGTCCTTTTAGAGTAGGCATTGCCTTGTCTTTTCAAACTGTTACAAAAATAATTGAAGGAACCAATCATTTTGAAATATGGCTTGCATAGATTTGAGTTCACTTTCGATTTCAAACGTGCATGCTTAGTTTGTAGGAGATATTTAAATGTTTTTGATTGAAGGAAATCACACATTTATGTATTACAGCTGTTCATTTCAAACAAGGTTTTTCACCCACATTAAATCTTTTTGCCTTTTTCAACAGATTTTCATTGGTTGATTTGAATATGAATATTGGGTTAAATATTTAGTCGATACCAAAGATGCCATGAATCTTGCATTTTACATATTCGCTACCAACATTTACTGTCATAACTGTAGTTAGCATGAAAGAATCACACCACTAGATGGCCATCCAAGTCCACAGTCTGCAACCAAGAAAGCAGATTTGCATTCAAAACATGACAGTTTAGGATATTCCAGAACTTCAAATTGTTGAAGGCCATTTTAATGTTTTTTTTTCTTTTCTAATCTCGTTCTAATTCTTAACATCGCTTTTCTAGTGTGCATCTACCAATCATTGTTCACCATATCTCTATTTTAACCCAAAAATACACAGGCTTTATACATGCATCACAAATGAGATGCAATTAACTGTCAATAAAAATTAATTTTAATGATCATTTAGATTGTGTGAGAGATTTTGCCTACATTGTATCCCTTTAATGATGGTAAGATACGAAAAAAAAATCTCTTAAAACTTAAAAATACGAAACGTTTGTGTGAGGGTTACGTTTAGGAATAGAGGAAGGGAATCGAAAATAATATTAGCCTAACTTAATAAGATATAGATTATGAGGGAACTCAATTTCGACCCTTCTATAATAAAAATATGATAAACAAATGACTAATTAAGCCATTTGTGCTATATCAGATGAAATGACCGCCTCGTGTGAGATGTATAGCAACCAAAACAGGCCACGGACGGATTTTAAGGTTAAATCTGTCGAGTGTTTTTCCACACTTCAACGGGTGTGTCGTTCCGCGCTGTTCACTGAACGCTAGGTGGCGCTATCAGACCGCGGGAACGCAGCGTCGGTTGCTCGTGACTAGGTATTTCCCAAATAAGTCACTTCAGCTCCTCACGCGAGCTCGCTGAGAGAGATAAAGTGACTGAATAAGAAACCTTCTCTTTATGATTCTGATCGTGTTACCGACGTGCTTTGCTTTTGGTGTTTAACAAGACCGGAACGATTAAAGAGCAGCACGACACCACAGACGGGACGCAACAGTAGGCGTCTGATAGCGATCGGCTATTTTTGTAAGACGCGATAAATCGACGGACCAATCAAGAGGCGGGCAAATAGGCTGGAACAACAAGCGTACGATATCAAACAATATGTTCATGGTACTGCAGTGAGCAGGTGGGGCAATGGCTCTATCAGATGGTGTGGAAAACCAACACAAGAAGTCGACTAATTCTTTGCATTAACGACGGTGCCACTTTAATACAGCCCAGATCCTTAACTAGCAGGTCACTTGAGTTTTCGCAAAGCTCTCTGTTGTTGTTGTTTTTAATAAATAATACAGCGCGAGCAGTGTAGTGTTGAGCGATTTTTGAAAGATGGACTCAAATGTGTCGGTTCTTTTTAGTAAATCGTAATAAAAAACCGCGCGATCGCGATCAGTGTAGACGAATTTCTAATTAAATGACTCATAGGAACCGATTCTTTTAAGTGAATTAAAAGCAAATTAAAGGGGTCATAGGGTGCGATTAAAATTTTTCCTTTCTCTTTGGAGGCATAAAGAAGATCTGTAAAGTTGCAAAGACTAAAGAGTCAACCACGCCTAGCTAAAAGGGCTCGTTCTAACACGCCCCCACATGTCTACATCACTATGTGGAAATATTAGCATAATGCCGCCCAAATGTGCACGCAAAGAAAGAAGGCGTGGTTTCAGGAAGAGCAGTAGTGTTGATGCAGCCATGTCAGGGAGATGCTGTGTGTTTCAGTGCAAAAGCAAAAGCACTTTATTTGGCCTTCCGGAAGTAGATGCAATTAGGAATCATTGGTTAAGATTTATTTACAACAGAACAGCACAACCCAGATGTTCGAATTTGTGCAACGCATTTTATGGACGACAGTTTTTTGAACCTAGAAGAGTACAAGGCTGGCTGTGCACAAAGTCTATTTCTAAAAAAATAAAAAGGGTAAATTCCGACTTTGCTATGATAATATGGCGCTTCTGAATCAGCGACTGTAAGTATGTTTTGTTATTAGTTTAAGTATTTGCTATTGACTGTTCAAATGCGGAGTTTTGCGCAGCGGAGAGTAACGCGTCGTGTGTGTGTGTGTGAGGGGAACAGGGTCCCATCACAGGAGAGTGAACTGCCTGTCAGAAATCATAGCACGTCAGCCTTAACCGCGGCTTGTGTACTGCATCATAACTGCGTTTGTCACGCGACTCTGTCGCCCTTTTGGGCTTGAACTGATGGTAAAACTAACGACATTATTAACTGTCTTGATATTTACTTTGAAAGCTGTAGCGATTATGGTAAGGGTACATTTCCGACGCGTGCTTGTGGTGTTCGGCCAATCACAATGCACTGGGTCAGCTGGCCAATCAGAGCAGACTGCGCTTGTCAAAGGAGGGGGCTTTGTTGAAAATGATGCGTTTGAGAGAGGCGGGGCATAGAGGACCTACAATAATGTACAGTATTTGAAAAATAATGTGTTTTTTGAACATTAAAGCATGTCAACATATTCTGTTACACCAAAATAGCATCATATGACCCCTTTAAATAAAAGCAAATGACTCTTATGAATCGGTTCTTTTTAGTTTTTTAAAAGCACACAGCATGATCAGTGTAGCCTGATTCCAGAGCAAATGACTCTTATAAATCGATTCTTTTTTTTTTGTGAATCAAAACCATACAGCATAACAATTGTAGTCAGGTTCACACACAAATTACTTTTATGAACCAATTATTTTTAGTGAATTAAAAGCATACAGCTTGACCTGCGTACTCTGATTCCTGAGCGAATGACTCTTATAAACTGATTTTTTTTATAGGGAATTAAAAGCATACAGTGTGACCAGTGAAGTTCGATTCCAGAGCAAATGACTCTTATGAACCAATTATTTTTAGTGAATTAAAAACACAACGTGACCAGTGTTGTCCGATTCCCAAGTGAATGAGTTTCATAAACCGATTATTTTTACTCTGATAAGGTTCTTTTTAAGGGAACACTTGAATGAATCAGTCGGAGCGGTTACTGAATGAATGGTAAGAGCTGTTATTGTTTTTATGTTGTAGTAACTGGCTGATTGTTCATATAGTTAAACATACACATTATGCGTTCTCTTGTAATCAGTGGTATTGTATACAAATAAATGTTTTATTGGTTTACATTTTTAGTTTAATGTATGTTTAGAACCAATTACTGGTTTGTATTTATGCCGCCTCTTAAAAATCTGTATAAACGCAGCTTTTTCAAGAACTCCACTGCATTTATTTCTGATTTGTTATGTTTGTACTGACGAAATCTGAAATTATCTCATCATTTGGCAACGGACCAACCAAAGTGAGTAAACACGATATGAATAGCATTTCTTATGTCTAAATGTTCCTTCCTCAATGTTTCTGCTTGAAAAGTAGAACCATTAATGGAACAATTAAGTAATGGTTTGTGAATCAGAATCACAACCAGAATGGTTCCGTTCTTAATGAAGCACACAATACGTATTCATTTGTTCACAGTGTTGTTCTGCAGCAGAAGTTGAGTTGTTGCACCTTGCACAGACACGCGACACAAGGATGGCTGAAGAACTGCAAGAAAAGAACGCTATCCTCTTTTTCATGAAAGACTACCATCCGCCCGCTCATGTACAATGCCTGGAATAGTAACAGCACTGCCAGGCTTACTAAATATAGCAACCAGTGAGTGTTAACATGTCAACTAGGAACCCGAAAGAAGTGGTTTCCACATGTGTGGCTGTTGTGGCTACACATAATACTATAAATAGATTAATAGCCTATGCAACATGTCTTCAATGACTTATAACCCTCGATCAAATTGTTGCACATCAATGTAACCCTGCCCATGTTGACCATAAATACATTTGAATACCTTTCTCTCTTTTGTGCAGCCTTGTTATAGGCTATGTGAATGGAGACAAGGGGCAGGATGAAACGCGAAGGATCATGCGCTGTTGGCAAAGCAGCAGCTGAGAGATGCAAACAAGGCAGGACCCTTCAGGTTTTAGTTTGCTTTTCTGACATTTGGTGCATCCAGGAAGTTTAGGTCCCAACTAACTTTTGAATGAATGAATTAGAAGAATGGGGTAATGAATGAATAAATGGCAGAGAACTTAATGGATATGGAGAGGATGTGCACATGAAAGGCCGGTCTGACTTTCTTTCTAACATGTTACTCAGGAGGAACATCATTTGACAGCTTGCCCGTTCATAAATATTCACCGTCTCTATTCATGCAGACCCTTCTCTTGAGGTAGTCATTGTGCCTTGGCTCTGAACCATGTGATTCTGATGGGAGGGGGAGATTCTATAAATAGCTCTATAGCTCGGCTTCCATTGACATCATTTAGGCAGGAGAGACAGAAAAATAAACAGAGAGAAAGGGCTATAAGGGTGGAGATCTGAGCTTGAAATTCCAACAAACCCTCATCAATTTTGATTTCCCTCTCAACTCTCCAGTAGAAACCACAGGGGCAGTGTCCGTTTCCTAGAGCATCTACCTCTCTCCCCATGGTTGAACAAACCGAGGAGGTAGGGATGGGTGGGCAGGGGGCGTCAAACAAAGGAAAAAGAAACATGTGACGGAAAGGCAAAGCAAATATTTTGGATTATGTTATTAATGGGAACTGGAGGAAGATTATGTCCAAGTCTTCTTATGTGTTAGTGTCTGTCAACAATAAAGATCGATGACATGCTGCCATCCCAGCAAATACATTTCTGGACTGTGAATACTAAATTGTTCATATCTGGTCTGGTAAATGCAAGGATACTGATGGTTGAAGATCACATTAAAGATGTGAGTAATGCAAAACTTGATGCTTGAAAAAATTTAGGATTGTAATTCATAATTCTGATTGATTCAACACAATTATTGGCTTTATGTGTAATGCACTGAGAGAAACCTGGGTGTTTCTTGGCCAGCACATGTAAGGGGTCTAAGAAACCCCTTTAGACCCCCAAATCTTGCATATTAGGTGAATGCCTTGTAAGTTTTGACTGAAGACTTATAATACCTCTATACCACCGAAGCATTCAAATCACTATTCAGATAGTGGATCTTTACTTGAGACAGAGACTGTGCATTAGACTTGAGAGATTTTATATATATATATATATCAGTTCAAAATCATTTTAAAATAAAATATTTGAATTTTTATTTGATTATATATTATATATTTTATTCTATCATATTAATAATGCAATTATAATAATATGTGATATTATAATAATATATCATTATAATATATTATATGTTAGTATTATATAATTTTTTATGATTTCTTTTATTTTTGCTCTTTTTGCAGGTTTGTGATTTTCACTTTATACCAGCAACTCTTGGAGCCACAGACTCGAGACTGCTGTCCCTGTCAAATTTGAGGTAAGGTGGGTTAAATGAGGAGAAGCTCTGAGCGAGCTCAAGCCCACACAGCCGAAATAGAGGTATTTTTAGATTTAGCGGAGAGTGCAAACGTCCAGCTTCATTGTCAGATCAAAGCCGCCACTTATGGCACTCCTGGCAGAACACTGATGTATTTTAAGGGAAACATGATGACAAATGTTATATTTACGCCCTTGATCTAAATATTTACCTATTCTCGGTCCCCCCCACCCCCCACACACACAACTCGTCACCACCCGCTCATTCATGATCCTCCCATATTAGCAGCAGGAGTCCGACAACACTCCGGGACATCCCATGTTTCGCGAAGGTAGGATTATCCCTGCACATCGCAGTACATCGCGTTGTTTTATGAATAGGAGCTTGTGTTCATTCATACACTTGTAGCTAACATGTCAGGGCGATGAAATGGTGTCTTCATGTGTTTAATATAGTATAAACAGCCTTTGCGTGCATGAAATGTATTTAAAGTTCGTGTCTGTCGGGAAAACACTGCATAAAGCTTGATGCTATAGTAGAGTCTATATTTCAGCACCACGGACAGAGACACTCGAATCGCAAAAACATAAACTTCGCGTGACTTGTGCCATGTTTTGATCATTACAATAAGTAATTTAATAAATAACGACACAAAGAGTAAAATACTATTTTAAGAAGATTTTCAAATCAGTTTTAAGTGAACTGCCACTAGTTTTAGCAGCTGTCGAATGGAGTCTGGCGACACCCTGCGGCAAGACGCGCGAATTTCCCCCCTTATGTTTCTACCGCACTGGCCAAATTAGTGTACTTTGTGTTCTGCACGTTCACTTTTAGTGTTATGCTTTGCAATTCGACAGGTTTAGAAGCCACAGTCTTTCTGTGACTATTGCGCGGTCGTTTGTAACATTGCATTGACTTAAAGCTTAAATTGAAAATATTACACACACCTCTTCATATAAACGAGGCAACCCCAGCAACACCAACTTTTCCATCTCCCTAAACATTGTACGCAAAAGAACCCTAACATGTGCAAAGCAACTACCGGGCTTAAAGATCATATATAGGCTAGTGGTGCGCATCTGCCACGGAATCCATTGGCAAATGAGTTTTTCACGATGCCTGGCGACTGTAAGGAGTGGTTTCGCTCTGGGAAGCCGGGGTTGTGGTCACTTGTAGCGCGGACACTGTCCGTCTTTCACTCATCTCCCCGAGCCATTTTCATTAGTGCGAGGCTGTCTGCGAGCACAACAGGGACGGTTGTAATCAGCAGCCATAGACTGTGAAGTGGGAGAACCTAAACGTGACGTCAATGCCTAGTAACTGACGCAGCCTTAAAAAAAAAAAGAGAGAGAGAGAGAGAGAGAGAGATTCTGCAAGCGTTATTTATCATCGTTTGTGTACTGCTCTAAAGACAAAACATATTCCGCTCGCAGTGCGACTGATTACGATTGTTTGCGCGCGCGTGTCCGTCTGTGTGTCTCTGTGTGTGTGTGTGAGTGAGTGAGTGAGTGAGTGAGTGCGTGCGTGCGTGCGTGTGTTTTTTATGAGCAGCGAATCCGTCCCGAGTTTCCAAGCTAAAGTTGCATGGAGACACGCCGCGTAAGACGCGTATAATAAAGAGGATGGTGAGCAACATAAAGCAACGAGGAGAGCGAGAGCAACTTGTGCTGAGAAAGCGAACCGTTAAGAAATATTTAGCCCACAAGAGAGAGGGGCACTGAAGCAGTTCGTTTGAAAAAAAAATCACTGCAGCGATGCATCGGAGGCGAGTCAGATGGAGTTGGAGAGGCAAAATTAATGTACATTACATGCACTCCACGTAACGCTCCTGAGCGATGTCTTTGTGAGTGTGTTTTTTTCTTACTGGGGGCTAAAAATAGCATCAGTGTTTGATCGTGATCCAGAAATAGGCAGAGGGTATCACTTGTATAAAAAGGACTGCGATTCTGAGAAAACTTGGACGTGTTGCTAAGGATAGATATGAATCAAGCGCAGTATTTGATTTTCATCTTGCTTGTTGTTTTTATACTCTTGTCTGTGTTCTCCCTGCTTTCAGTCAGGGCTTCCTGTACTGGTAAGTACACATTCTCGATGATTTCTTTGGTTTGATGACATGTTTATTTGATATTTTGCACGATTTCTTGCATGCATCGAGTAACGTGCCATTCCCTGCACCGACCATTTGTTTCACGCATACTGTGTGCACTTCTCAAACAGGTGTTTTGTTTTAATCCATTTGTTAAAAATGAAATAAACCACTCTCTCTTCAGAGCAGGAATCTCGCGAATGGTAAATAAGTGAAATCCAAATCCAAACTCCTTTGTCTGACGGCGCTGTTGAGTCGTTTTTTGCCTCTTCGCTACAGCTGAGAGTGTGAATGGAAACCGATAACACTAGAAGAGTGAGGGGACATATCTCTCAAAATATGCGAAGAGGAAAATAGGCTAATAAATATAGGTGGAAGACGCCGCGCCAAAAGGAAAATCACCAGCAACAGCAGACGAGGGAAGCCCTGGTGTGGCGTCAAGGGGTTCCATGCATCCAATATCGCCCTTAAATGGTCAGCCCTGTTTTGGCCATCACCCGAGAAAGGGATGCCACTCGGCACACGTTCTCAAAATACAGCTTAATGGTTTTTTTGTTTGTTTTTGTTTTTTGTTTGTTTTGTTTTTGTTTTTTGTGCAATGTTCCCGCGTGCGTTGTTTGAACACTTCCATCAGATCGAGACTGCTCGAGACTGTGTAGCTATAGGCGGATTCACAAGGATTACTCTTCCGCCCACGTCATTTTCATTATACAGTACTGCAATCGACAGTTTTCTATTGCTGTGGACTATAATACTGGTCTTGTGCCAAAACTAACGGTTTTGTGCAGTTGCGCAAAACAATCCCGTTGTGATCGCCAGTGTTGTTTTAATCAAAGCATCTCTTAATAAACGCCTAACTTCAATCCTGCAGCGTGCGCAAGTGCCTTAAGCGTTAGCAGACAGTATTTTTCGAATTGTTTCAGAGGGTTTAAATGGTCATGTATATGTATTCAAAATAAAAAATTACATGTGAGTTCGCTTAAATACTTAAAACCGTACATGCCATAGTGAGTCCAGGAATGACCGCGGATCTTTGCAGAAAAAAAACTCATTACCTTGACCTTTTCAAAAACACTGTGGCTCTCTATACATCTATCCCAGACATAGCAAGATCTTCTTAAGTCAATGCTGGCGTTGTAATTTTAGTCGAAACACGGTTTTATCCGAGTCGTGACTGCTATAGTGAGTAATATGTGCGCGTTGGCTGCGTCAGGAGATGCAGTCGCTGTGCGGTGCAGACAGAAGGGGGAGAATCGTGACTGAGTAGAGACGTCCGCGAATGATGCGACCACCAAATAAAATCCTCATAATGGTGGCATCTGGGCTTGGATTTATTTTTGTTTTTTGTTTTTTTACACCTGTTACATCTCAAGCCATATCTCTTTTGCCTAGCCACCTCAACCTCCCCTTGCACCACGAAGGCGCAAGAAGAATATCAGTGATTAAGGGGAAGGGAGGGGGGAGATCTTGGTTCGGGATGAATTTGAACTGGGGGGAGGGAGGGATTTGGGGGGGGGGGTCCAGATATAGATCGTGACCCTCCCACTTCGTATAGTTTCTTGCATAGTTCCAAGAAGAGTCACTCTTTAACAATTTTGACAAATGATCGCATGGATGCAAGAAAAGAACTTCACGGGTAAGTGAAATGAAGTCACATTCCACAGCTGGATTGAGATATTGGCCAAAATAGATGCCAGAGGGATCACACTTTTGATGTGTTGTCATGCTTTTATTACTTGTTTTCCTCAAGTTGTGAGAAATTGACTGCTGTTGATGCATTTAAAAAAAATGTTGTTGTTGTTGTAAATTTGGATGTTGAAAATTTATGTAACGTTCTTCTGATGCCAATCGCTTAGAAACGCACCATTTTTTTTGTAAAAAAAAACCACAGTTTGTTGTGCCCGCAGGCGATGATGCAACTGTAATGTATAGAATTTGTTATGTTCTGCTGATAGTTTAGAGACCCCCGTGTCCTCACTGAGTGGTATCAGCCAGTGAACTCTCTGTGGTCATGCAATGAAATTACCTCAGAAGCCTGTCGTGTTGTTGTCGTCGTGCTGGCGATGTGCTGCTTTGTTTTACATGCACGTTAGAACCCGACGCCTCCAAAATGTTAATCGTTTTGAAAACGACCCTAATGTCTGTTTTGAATGGATACATGTCGCTGTACTTGCAGACATGAATGCACGCCACCCCGACATGGTGTGCGAGAGACGTGGCAACCCATTTTGAAACGTGACATGGCGAACGAATTCGGCTTCAAAACAAAAAAAGGATAAAAACATTTAATGTTATTGTCTTAAACGGAATATTTCTGGTCACTTGCGCCAACTAAGATACAATTTGGTTTCCCCTTTCTTTCTCTTTTTTTTCAAAAAGGGGGGTCCCTATATGAGCAAGAAACCGATTGGTGGATGACGATTTTTTGTTTGCGCCAATAAGATCTCTCGCTGCTCTCTATTTATTGCGAGCAGATTACAGACTGCTCTCTCCTCACCAAGAGCGCTTCATCTGCTCGATTCTCCGGCATCACGAACCAGAGGATGTATTTCATAGTAGCAACAAAACGGCGAGGCGAAAAGAAACGAGTTCAATGGTCGCTCTATCACATTTGTGTCTTTGTTTAGATGCAATTATCGTAGCGCACGTCGGTAGGCACGAGCGACTACAAAAGCCAGCGAAAATAAACTACTGGGAAGGAGTGAATTCAGAACCACGGACAGCGCTCGCACTCAGAATACAGGCATTTGGATGCTGGCTGCTCTCAAAGCTTCCCATGCTCGTAGAATGTGAATGAGTTGGATACAGTTCAGCCACGGAAAAGGGCTTCGCGGTCTGGACACAATAGGAATGGGAAACCAGAGCCATGCACAAGCCACCTGGATGTCACTGTTTGATGTCACGGACTTCAGACTGCGATTTGTCTTTCGCGAATCTTTTTGCGGTCTGGGCTTGCTGTTCATAAGTATCTAGCTGGGAAGCCCTTACCCCAAAAAGCATTTGCGGAAGGCGCATTCACCGACTGATCCGCTGCGTGGATTAAATGATTGCATTATTATTATTATTATTATTATCATTATTATTATTACTGTATTTATTTTCTACAAATACTTTGTTCTTTTTACCCAAAAATATGTCATCACTGTGTTGCGGTTCAAATGTAAAGCCGAACTTTTCTCCCACTTACGTCCCCAAAGTCTAAGATCCCTCCCTGTCGAGAGTTATCTGGCGTCTCCATTGCCAGAATATTTACTCTCTTTAATACGATTACAAAAAGTCACCCAAACAAAACCCCAGTTCCACCAACGAGCCTCCCAGTTTGCACGTGGGAAAACACAGTGGTCCATTCGGGAAAGAGAGAAGGGGGCATCTCGTTAGTGTGCTATTCACTTAGAAGCCAAACAATGTTGAAATGACCCCACCCTGTTCGCAATAACATATAAGCTGTATAACCCTTCCCGACGCAGTTATAGTTCTACACGGGTTTAAAATTAAAATATCAGCCCATTGACATAGTGCCAATGTGTGTGTGTGTGTGTGTGTGTGTGAGAGAGAGAGAGAGAGAAGAGAGCACGTCACCATAGGTGCCCAAAGACAACAAGGTTTCACCCAACCTCATCGTTTTTTTTCTTTTATTTCTTTTCTTTCCTTCTTTTTACACACACCCTCGTTCCTTCTCTCTCACACACACGCACAGTATTTTGGAAATATGACACCTCAATGAAATATGACACACCTATGCACACACAGGATATAACATGTAGACACATTGGGTGATAAAGATTTTATGCCATGCAGATACAGTCCATTGAGAAATTCTCAGCAACTGAGAAGTGACGTGATCCGTGTCACTACAATATTGAAGTCAGGTCCCCTAAGTACCACATAAGTCATTTCCTGTTTTCGGTGACACTCACCTGTCCCCTATCCTATATGCGAGAGGAAGTGCAAACACAAATGCCCCTATTATAGGCTACAGTATTTGGAAAAGGCTCCAAAGTCTCTTAGTGACGACAACCCTAAATTCCTTCAGGTCAGACAAACATTAATTTAGTCTCAATCGTATGTGTTCCCTCACATTATTGCATAGATGCATTCCTTTGATTATATGGTTATAAAATTAGAGCAATTAAAAATGACGTAGAGAAGAGGTCCTCTTGAAATTGGTTAAAAAATATTAGAAAACTTTAACTTCATGGAGTTTTGCATTTCATGTAGCCTAATTCCCCCCCCCCCACCCCCCGATAAGCTTAAAGGCCTGAAAAAGTTGCTCATACTTAAAGAAAATTAGTTCGACGTTATGGTCAAACATTACAAAATCGTTAAATTAAAAATCCTCTTTGCTGATAGCTAAACTGTGAAATGCAGTAATGTAAGTGTTCGTTTTGAGTTTGAACATGTTTTTTTGATTCAAGTGATTGATTTGATGCTCACTCAAAAGAGGCGAGCTGAGACAGAAGGTTGATTTAGTGTTTGGATGAAAAATATACTAACGCGGATTTTGGTGGCCTAATAAATTTAAATCATTACATCATATTTGACTGTAAGAATCCGTGATTAAATTGGTTTAGAACTATTATAATATTGTATGAACAGCATCAGGAGGAAGCTCCTACGCCGAGCATGTGCATTGTGAAATTGTTTTCTTTAGTTTGCTAAAACAGCATGTTTATTTCTGTTCACTGAACTTATTTCAATAGTTTCAATCATTTCTGCTCGGTTTCACGAGATTTTCGAGTTTTCTGCATGAGGGGTTAAATTCCAAGTGGTCGAAAAAGTGCAAGAAACTTTTTTCTAAACTAATACATTTAGCCAGCAATTACTGTTATTACAAGTTTACTGACCTATATGACTTTTTGTACTGTCTACATGCATGTAATGAAAAGTTTCGTGACGTCCGTGTGCGTCGCTTTGGTTCCGTAGACTCTAAAGTGAGTGAAACATATTCTCGTGCTCTGCGTATCTAAACTTATTTGAAAAAGTGCACAAAACTTGTTTTTTTGTGTGGACTGAATGGCACGATGCAGCTGCGAAGGGCTTTTCCATGCTCTCATTTGTTTTTCACCCCATTTTACTGTTCCCAACTCTTTTCAACTCCTTGTTCACCAAACATGCCTTGTATATTTTTCAGAAGCTGCTAAACTGCCCAAACTGCGCATTCAAACGACCCCACTGTTATTTATGTACAACTTTGTGCTCTTGTCTTTGTGCACAGGGCAGGACAGAACTTGAGGCATCCATCGTGTCAAGTACGGAGGGTGAAATGAACAGCTCGACTCACAGTATGATCCCTGACGGTGTTGCTTGTGACGTCACCGGCGTCGTAAGTTCATTCTTTCTGTCTCAGCCCTTTGCGAGAGTGGCCTCTGTTCGTGCCATTGTCTGTCAGTAAGCGCTTGAAACTGCAGCAGGCACAGGATTTTTTTCCCAGTAATACAAGGTTTTAACAGTTGAAGGTTTTTTCTTTGTTATTTTTATGCCTATCAAACTGTTGTATTCAACGGTTTCAGGCCTGTGTAATGTCTTATGTGCTCCAGTTGTACTTTACAGTTAAACAGTCTGAAAGTCACTAAGGTGGGTGTGGTGCCCTGTATAGTGTGTATCAGGACAATTACATGATCATTTAAAAGTCTTTCTTTTAGTTTAACATGTGGAAATTTTAAGTTTTGATAGAAAAGCATATGAAGACTTTTATTGGTATTGCTTATGGTAAATACAGCATGATTTATTCTATTGTGAATTGATATGTATGATTATATATTTATGCTTAATATACCTTAAATATGTATTGCTTTAACAATTAGGTAGAATGCAAATACATTCTCAGAAGTGTAAGTGTACTTGATATGTGCATAGACACATATGCACATATGTGATTTAATATCTGTACACATATGTAGATAGTTTTAAAAATAAAAAAGGTATTTAAGTGTTTTTAAGTACAACAAAAGTACCTAAAAATATTTGTTAGTTTTTGTGTATGTTTTAGCTCTCACTGCATGCCGTTACTTATATTACACAGACTTGTATTGAATGTCTTAATTGAAATGACCACTGAAGTTATATGAGATATTACGTTGAGCTGCAAAATATAAAAAATGAAGCTACGTAAGTGGAAATTTTTTTTTATATGCAGTGGCTCGTCAAGAGTTTTAGTTTTCTGTGGAGTTAAGGATCTTAGTGTGTGACTTTCAGAAGTATTTTAACAGTATTGCTCATTGCAGGTTAGTATAGAATAATGTACAAGGATTCTTTTCATTTGTTTGTTAAATGGAAAAAATATAAATGTATCATGAAAATATTTATAACCTACAGAGTTAAGGGCATTATTAACACAGGCTGGATGGTATGAAAGACCTTGGAAGATAAAATTATCCAAGCTTCTTTTAATTTTTTATGTCTTTCTTTTTTGGAATTAGTGCCACAATATTGTTTGATTTGGTCTTTAAACACTATAAACCTTTTAAACCTCCCAGCAGAAATTTCACAACATAATGTTGAGATGCTGACACACAACCTGAGACAAAGAGTTTTAATACAGATTTTAAAAGGAATACTTACAGATTACTGTACTGTAAAATCGCAAATATTATTTGGTACATTTTCTGTATATAAGTCATACTTAACAGACACTATTTCATATTTTTAGTGAAGCTAGAGATGGACTGCAACACCGGTTACCATGGGCTATTTTCATTTAACAGTCTATTTAAATTGCAGGTTTAAACACTTATCAAAATAAATATTACATTACATTAAAATAAATATCGACATTATTGTTATAATATCTCATATTTATATATATTGTTTGTTTTTTTATATACCTGTAGTCTGAGACTTGAGATGCATTCAGATCTCACCAGCACTACACACAGGTAATTTTTTTCTTAGAGAGATACTTCACTCATGGCTATATATGTTTTTATATGTCTCTCTCTTTGAAGAATGAATTCAAACACTGTTTTATGTTTTTTTGATAAATTAGATATAGGTTTCTTAATTGATTAACAGGGTGAGCAAAAGACGTCACCCGGTATTCTCACCCAGTCAATTTTAACTTATTAAAGATGCGCATCTCAGAGAAAAGACCCTATTGTTCAGTGTTAGATGTTAGATTTAAATTGTGCTTATTTTTTCTAAACAAATAATGTGTTTGTTTGTTTTTTATCTTTAATTTTTTCTTTATCTTTAAACGGTATTGAGTTCTTTTTAACACTCACAAATTCACGTTAAACTATTAATAACCACAATCTAAATCAGGCTATAAAAATAAAAACAACTTAAAAGCATCACAAACAATTTACAACTTCCATTATCTATTATGATTAAAAATATGATGTTGCAGTTATTAAACAGCATACTGTTTTTTCATGTTGTTCACTGTTTTACCCTTTTTTTCCCCTTAGCTCATCCCCTCGGGTCTTTCTCAATGTATTATTTTCCAATCTGAGGAGGACATGTTATGTCAAAACATGTTCTAAAAGTATGTCCTCACAAATATTTCATTATGATACGGTGATACACCAATACCATTTAAATCATTTTTACCTCATTCTTTGACTTTCCTAAATTGTTTGCAAAATGACATATGAGATGTAGTAGATTTTAAACTTTAACTGTCTGTTTAATCAGTCCACAGGAACAGGATGTCAACATTAGCCTGGCGTAACAACAAATAATACTTATGGAATGATGCCTGCATGGACTAACAAGAGGGATATTTACATATGTGGCCCCCCGTCCCTTCTTTCCCTCTTTTCTCACATTCCCTCCATCCATACATGGATGAGTCAGGGAAGGTGTGAGGGATGAGTCAGTTCCGGGCGGAATTTTTAGGGAAGGGGAGTGTCTGCTTGTTCCTAAGAGGGTGGTCCTGTCATGTTAACATGGCATGACCTCACTGGCACAGAAATACCCGTTCACGCATTCACTTGCCATAAATCTGCTCTCTGCATAACCAGTGCAAAAGCAGTTCATGCCTGTTTATATATATTCCCAGTTAATTCCAGTTTTTAAATGTAATCTTTTGGTAAAATATATTAATTTAAATGTGAGTCTGAAGCTTTCAGTTACCTAAACAGCACTAAATGGCACCGAAAAAATAGCTTTTCATTAAAAAATAAGCTTACGTCCATTAAAATTGGGCTGTTCTTAAAAATATCTCACTATGATGAACTGCTCTTAGTATTTCACAGCCAGTCATATAGATTTAAATAAAGTGTACTGATATAAAAGTGTGTTTATGAAATATAACCTAAGATTGTAATTTGTTCTATGAATGGAAAAAAAAAATTCTAACTTTAGTGTTAGAACACAATCATGTACGTACAGAATAATCTAAAATCTAAAATAATCAAATATATTATAATACAATCAACTAAAACAATACAAAAATAGTCATTATTACGTATTAAATGTCAGTACTATTTATTTATTTTTTAAATCAACAATTTTAGCACAAATAAAGATTTTAGACACTGTGTGTGTGGGGGTGTGCATTTATGTTTGGCTGCATGTCTGGATGTTTTTTTGGGGTTTCTTAGTTAATGTTTGTGTCTTTTATTTGTAGAAAATCTGCTGATGACTGGAGGTCTATGCAAAAGTGAGATGTGAAGTGAACTGACTGTGCTCCTCATGGAAGGAGAGGGAAGGCTGACAGGCATGGAAGTTGATGGGGGAAAAAGGAGGGGTTTACCAATAAACAAGGTATCAACCGACACCTATTTAGACCCAAAAACATCTACAGGGAAGCATGGGAGTGTCCCGCACTCAAATAAGTTGTAATGCAAAACGCACTTTCTGTGCTATAACATCCATTCGCACCTTAGACTTTGCTGATGAGTGAAACTCAGTGACCAGCAAATCTTGACTCATCAAATGTGTAAATTTAAGAAATTATTTTGCAAAAGTGAATCAGTTACAGAGATTGTTCAAAAATAGCACGAATCGGCATGAAACAAGGAATATGGAAAAAAGCAGAATTCAGTTTTTTGAGCATATAATGTCATAAAATCACCTTTAGAAATGTACAAATCTTTTTCTTTGTCAAAAAATCAAGTGAGCAAAACCTTCAAAGCACACATTCCGTCGTGTTTTTGCATGCTTGCGTCGTCTGCTTTGATTGAAAAATCTTCCAAAAGAGTAATGATCCTTATTACATGTGTTAAAAGAAAAAATAAGGTTTTTAAGTGGTCGCTGATCATGTATATAATATTAAAAAACAATATAGAATGTGACAGGTCAGGTCTGAAAGTACAGGCTCAGACGACACATAAAATATGACGTACAGAGGGAAACACTTATCATATTATTGCAGTCTTGCTGACAAAATGGATATTGTTTATATATAAAACATTACAGCTAGTTTTTTAAACAGCTAATTTAAAAAACATTTGAAATGTTTTTTTTTTTTAATCAAACTATTAAAACCAGCAATCCAGAAGGGATGTATCAAAAACAGAGGCATTGCACAAAAATGTTGGCTGAACAAATTAGTTAAAATTAATACAATATATTTGTTGAAGTGAAAGCTATACATTTTTACCTGTGTATGTATAAATGTTGATATTTCACAGTTTGTAATGGTACATCAACTAAACTGACAATAAAAGATTATTAAAAAGCTTAGTATGTATTGTATCTGGTATTAAGCTATTCATCTTTAGTAATAAAAAAAAACTCTATTAAAAATAAGACAAATATGTTAGTAGAAACTTGTTTTATACAAATCATATGGAAAGTAATAGAAACCAGTGAACTACTCACTCAATTTCACCCTAGACTTTGAGGTAGTATGCACATTTTTAAGCCGTCTCACAAGTTTTTAAAGGGTTGCATAACTTGTGTGCCCTATTTTTGGTCTTTTTGTGTGTGTGTGTGTGTTTTTTTTTGTATATGAATGTAGAGCCAGTAAGACTGAGCAGACTGACGTATAACCACATTAGATGTACAAGCATGCTAACTCAGTGGTACTTGATACACTGGAATATTTTATATATAATAATAATTTTTGCTGCATATCAAGTTTCAGCATAGATTATTATTAGGTATATATACAGTTTGAATGATGCTGTAAAGCTAATTGTTATCATTTTGTTTGATTTTATATTGATAAAATCTTAAACTTAAAACTTAACTTATTATATATTGTACCCCTTAAATAGTCTGTATGTATTGAGGGAAGTATTAGGTGGGTCTCAGGAAACACATTTGACCATGGTGACGTTGTTTTTATGACTGTCATGAGCAGATTTTCATTGAGCAGGCCAGATCTGTATTTTTAAGCCGTCTCACAAGTTTTTAAAGGGTTGCATAACTTGTGTGCCCTATTTTTGGTCTTTTTGTGTGTGTGTGTGTGTTTTTTTTTGTATATGAATGTAGAGCCAGTAAGACTGAGCAGACTGACGTATAACCACATTAGATGTACAAGCATGCTAACTCAGTGGTACTTGATACACTGGAATATTTTATATATAATAATAATTTTTGCTGCATATCAAGTTTCAGCATAGATTATTATTATTAGGTATATATACAGTTTGAATGATGCTGTAAAGCTAATTGTTATCATTTTGTTTGATTTTATATTGATAAAATCTTAAACTTAAAACTTAACTTATATATTGTACCCCTTAAATAGTCTGTATGTATTGAGGGAAGTATTAGGGGGGTCTCAGGAAACACATTTGACCATGGTGAAGTCGTTTTTATGACTGTCATGAGCAGATTTTCATTGAGCAGGCCAGATCTGTATCCAGTGCCCACAAATAACTGTGAGATGTGTTGCTTGTGTCATATGTTTGGTTGTACCCACACAAAATGCACTGGGAATGTGTGTGCAGGTGTCAGAATGCTTTGTGGATTGTGGATGCGTGTGTAAGATGTCTTGTGTGTGTATGTATACGTCTGTTAGAGAATGTAAAGGCAGATGTGTGTTTAGTCAATATACAGATGGAGATGGAGTGTGTGTACATGATTGTGTATCAGCAAGAATGCGTAAGAAATGTGTGTATGTGTTAGTTTAAAAAAGCTGTGTGTGTGTGTGTGTGTGTGTGTGTGTGTGTGTGTGAAATATGCAAATATACCATGGTAATAGTGATGTGTGCACATTTATGTACTAAAATGAGTGCAAAGGGAATGTGCGTGTGTGTAAGTATTAAAGAATGCATTATTTTAATACATTTATGTGTGTATCAAATATCTTGTGCACATTTATGCATATACAGTATATTGTGTAAATGTTCAAGAATACGACAGATAAAGTGAGTGTGTGTGAGTCTATGTGCACATTAATATGAAAGCATGGTTATGTGTATGTGTTAGTGTGTGTCAGAATGCTTTGTATATTATTTTAAGGTCTGTGTGTGTTTGCAAAACCGAACATTTGAATGTACGTTTTAATTCATGCACAGATATATACGTATTGGTGAGTGTGTGTATATATGTTCGATAATGAGGGTAAAGCATGTTTTGGCTGTTTTACAGACATTAAGTGTGTGTATTTTGCGTTCGAACAAAAAGTGTGTGTAAGTGTATATCAGAAAGCTTTGTATCATTATCGCAAGGCCTCTGTGTGTGTGTGCAAAATGTTTTGTGTTAATATGAATGTACGTATGAGTGAGTGTGTGTCTAAAGGGCCATGTGTGTGTTTTTTGTCAATTGTACTGACAATATAAGTGTGTGTGTATTTACATACCTAAGAGCGCACATGGATGTGTGTGTTTGTGTTGTAAGGTTTATGTGATTGTTTCGAGGCCCTAAATCCGCTTGTGTGTGAATGCATATATATATGAGTGTGTAAATGCGAGTGTGTGTGTAAATATGCACAGAAGGCTTGTGTGTGATTGTTTGAGCACATGTGGAGGGCTGGATGTGTGTGTACGTTAGTGAGCACACGGCTGAGAGGTTGTGAAACATATGCATGAGCTTTGAGAAAGAGACAGCAGGGCAGACGAGCCAAAGACATTCAGATATATAGTGCAGCATTGTTTAAAATAATTTAGTTACATTTATATTTATTACATTTTCTTTTAAATGCAATTTTAAGTCTAAATATATAGTTTTGTAAATATATTTGATGTAAATCTTATATTTATGTGTTTGGTGTGTGTTTAGTAAACAAACATACGTACTTTACAAGTAAATTTGCTACATTTAAGCTTCTTTTATAAAATAAAACGACGCAGAATAATTTTAAAGACTGTCATTTTAATCTAAAACACAGATATGATGAAACTTTAGTAGTTTAGAGCAGGTTTGCTTCAAAATATTAATTTTGATAAATTATGTATTGTAGATGTTTAAGAAAGAAGGACTAACATAGAATGTTTTAAATCACTGGTATCTATACAGATGTGATTAATATGAAAAGGTTGTTTGAAATTTATGAGATGAACAAGGATAAAAGTGGACATGATACATGTCTGTGGTGTGTGTGTGTGTGTGTGTGTGTGCAGCAGCATGTGTGATATTGTTTGTGAGCAGAAAAAATATATATTGTTAAAGAACACACCCTAAACAAATATTTATTTTTCTGTAAATGTTCTTAAATCACTGCTGATGTATAAAATCATAAATCTTGATCTGTTTTTGCATCCTTTCTCTTTCAGACTCTGTCTAGTGTGGCAAAGGCCTCAGCTGTGAAAATAATGATTTTCAGCTTATAAATGTGCTATAAACGTTATAAATGTTCTATATATTTTATGAATGAGTAGTAGTTGTGATAAAAACTTGAAATATGTTTTAAAAATGTATTTTAGTGCAATATAATGCCATCAGCGATTTTATTTTAAATGATACATAAATGATTCATGATTCAGAGGATATTATCTTTTTGAAAAATACTAAAAGGTGCTTTATATCCCCCCCATAGGATAACAATCTGGGAAAACGTTACCTTGTATCCTGCACACAAGATCAACATCAAACCAACGTCTGTTAGACTGCTTTACACCTGTAAATGGATATTCAGCAAGTTGATTACTTTGTAGGAACAACATAACATCGTCAGGTATTTGCAATATCTGTCTGTAAACTACTTGGGTTTAATAAATGACCTGGACTTGCTTACGTTGTCACGTGCACAGACGTCTGAGACGCATGAGCTGTGAGACGTAAGGAAATATGAAAATGATATAGTACGTATCTGAGCTTTACATTTTTTTTACTTGCACATAAACCCATGTATAGATACATTTGTTGTGATTATTAACCTAAATGAGTGAAACTGTATAAACAAGATGCACGTGAACGCTTGTGTCGAGTTGTGTTGCTTTAATTCTCAAAGACGTGAAGGCAAACACAGACTGATTTAATCTTATTTGTTCTAATTAAATTATAGCCTATATGTAGCTTCAAATGGAATTGTTGTGATTGTGATAATAAGAACGTGTGCGTAACGCGAGCGTCTGTAGACTTGTGTGAAAATTACAGGCGCGAGTTTTTTTTAGCTTGTGGTGCTTTATAATTGTTAGGGTTACATATTTGTGAGATCTTAATAGTTTGTTTAACATGTTGTATGAAGCTACAGACGGAGAGTTGGAGCACGCTCTGCTGCTGCTAACGGATCACTCCCACGGCCCAAATGAGCTTAGGACTCAAATAATGCTGTTTTTATTATTAGTTCTTTCGCTAGATATGTTTATTATATCGTATATATGTAATAAGGTTTCGTAACTAGTGTTGAGGGAGCATTTTGACCACAGTAAATGTGAAATGTGACTTGTTGGAATTATTAAGGGTCAAAGGGGCTGGGTCCTGCAGAAAGGGGGAAAATAAATATGTTTAAATTAAAGAATAAAGATTATAGGCATATAGGAGTTATTCTTAAATGTATGTGGTAGATCAGTGAGTGTCGAGGACTGAAAGCTGGAATATATAATTTGTTAAGTGAGAGGAAATGTGTGTGTGTGTGTGTGTGTGTGACAGAGTGTGTGTGAGAGAGAGAGAGAGAGTGTGTGTCTGATGTCGAAATTGTATGTTTTAAGGTTCGTCTAAGCAAAAGTTAAAGTAAAATATCTAGATTTTGCATCAGTTATTATTTGTAGTATAATAATTAGCCTACAAAAAATAACACTGTTAATGCACTATGTATCGGATTGCTTGTGCCTTACGTGCATTTTTATTGCTTCATAATTATAGTATTCTCTGCTTTGCTGTTATTGTATATCATACAACCCAAAATGTGCTTAACAGTTTGAGCTGAATTGAGTTAAACGAGTCAAGTGTGGTTGCTGCCGTGTGGACGACGTAAAAACGTAACGTGCGAGTTCTGCATTTCTGAGTATTTGAATGTCATTTCTGTATAGTTAGGTTAGGCACAGAGAAAAATATGCTTCATTAACGATTCGACCCGGACTAATTGTTTAGCTATTTCATTACATGAAACAAGCTGTACATGTGGTGTGAGAAATATATGATGTGATTATGTTGCAAAAGCTAAAAGCTGGAAGTTTATCGTTCACGTGACAAAGTTATGAATCACGTATTTTGTCATCAGACTGCTTGCTTTCTGTATTGTCTATTCCATGTCAGAGAAAATAAAATGTTTGGAGTTATTTTAGAGTCTGCTTGCTTATTTGTCTGTTTTTAAGTGTGGGGAAACTGGAAAATTGAACACCAATTTGTGACATATTGAAAACGTTGTGTGTTTAGAGCCTTTCGGATATAAAAAAGACAAATGTAGCGTGAGGGGGGCAATACACAGAGAGAAAGGCTTACACAGCCAGAGTATCTTACAATTAAAAATACACACATTAAAATGTTTTTCTTGACGACGCCAATGCTTTTTTCTACTAAACAGCATGTGGTTTACATGTTACATGTGTTACTTGAATTATTCACGTATCGGTGGGCTTATATTTGAGGTTAAGTTTCGGGTCGCGAGTGATGTGTTGGAGTGCTCCAGTATGTGTAGTAGTCTGACTGAATGTCAAGCTGACAAGCTAGGACCGAGCCAAGAGCAAAACATCCGTCTGGACGCGAGTTTCGCCGCTTACAACACTCGCGCGTCGTTTTCGTACCTGCATGCATGTGTAAGTCGATTAAAATGTGTTTCACAACAGTTTACGCTGTATTTTCACAGGTTGCTCAGCTGCATATCTACTACGTGCCTATGTGTTTACATAACCATCCTCTCTTCCGCGTTACTCTCGCCGACAGTTCTCGCGATGTTTCGTCGCAGCGCTGTGTGGTAATTGTAGTTTCATGTGGAGGAGGTTCACCGTTTGATTGAATATAAATAATAAGCAGGTCTGCATGATAAAACAAGCAGAGTTTCCCAAAATATGCTTTTAAAATCATCTTAACGTGGGTTATTCGCTATTCACGGTGTAAAATATCAATTGCTTCCCCATCCAACGACGTATCACTTGTTACTAAGTAGAACTGGAGGATCGTTATTGGTGTTTATGTTTTACATTACATTATTTTATATTGATATTTTTTACTTTATTCACATTATTTTCAATGATTGCTCTAATCACCATAAAACAGTTTTATTTTACTATTATAGAAACACTTAGTCCTCAACACACGCACACACACAAGTGTAAAAATACTGTTAAATATGACACTGTAAATGAATATCATGTGATGTGGATCATTATAAGGGGTTCTATCATTAGTAATTTTGCTTGGTTATGTGTATATGGCTAAGCATTTATATGCTGTATGGCTCTGTATGTAACTATGTATGTATATGTACACTTTTTATTCTTTATACGATGTCTTTGCAATATTCAAAATACATTAATGGTTTTTACTTTGTGTCCTACACTGTGAAAACAAACCGAATGTGTGTTTAGGCGGTTTTCCTTAATATACAAAAGTTTTGTGTGCTTTTGGAAATGGAGCCGTGGTCAGGAAAATTGGAAATTGAGTCATACATGTGCCTATCGAACTCAAATGCAGCAAATAAGCTTGTCCGTCTTTTTCCCACAAAGTATGACTCATTGGTGTGACAGCGCCGGTGAATGAATGTGACTGGCGTTCGTGCCGACAAATAGACTCTCAGTGACTGCTCAGCAGGGGCGGGACAACAGGAGCCCGCGTGGCCAATAAGCAGCAAACTTCATTCATAAAATAGTGTGGGGGTGATCGTTGGACGCGTGGGTTTGGAGGTTTCGTAACCCTGACTGAAACAGAAAAACCAGTTCTGAATCACAACCAATGACATTATTTGAATGGAGGTTACCGTTATGTTTGTCCAATCGCTTCTCACTCAAAAGAGTTTTCGGTCCCGCCCCATTAAAATGGGCACCCGAATGAATGAGAATGGGCTCTTTGTGATTGACGCGCACAACAGCCAATCAACGGTAAGTTGCGGTTGACGGACGCGAGCTTCAGCCAATCAACGATGGACGTGGGCTCGCATGGAGTATGTGGGAGGTGTGCACTTAAATCTGGATAGACTAGTATGTTAGAGGAGTTGTAGGGGTGTGATGCCACAACCTGCTTATAAAGAGGCGCACACATTGAAGCTTTATTAAAGCAGTGCATGACGGCTAATTTTGCAGGTAATTCACCACGCACAGCCAGCCGTAGACATGGAGTCGTTTAACGTGGTGGAGACGCTACAGCCTGCCGAGAGAGCGCTCTTCTGGGTCGGTGCACTTATCACGGCCTCGCTGGCGCTGTGGCTGCTGTACAAGATCATCACTGGCTTTAGGATATGGGTGCTGGGAAACGGGGATCTACTCTCTCCCAAATTGGGGAAATGGGCAGGTAAGTTGAACGACATGCGTTGGGAATGAGAGACATGGGTGGGATAAATGTGGTGCGCATTTGGCGCAGCCTTAAACTAAATAAAGATGAACTTCATGGATTTGGTGGGGAACTAAAAATGTCTACTTTTTGCGCATCAGGTGTAAGTGAACACATTTTTGTTATCGTTAACTAAGGGCGAATGCTTGTATCAATCACATAAATGTATAATCGTTAAAAGATTAGATCAGCAGACTATTTGAGGCATTAGTATTTTATGCGTATGGTCAATGGAGCCGACGTGTGTCTCAGGTTGACTGATTGCGCCATACATTCATATATTATGCGCAGATAGCTTGTCACTCTGAGTCATTCAGGTATTATTTCAGCCTGACATTTTTAACAAAGACAAATTGGATTTTAAAATAGACTAACTGGATGAAGTTTATAGCTACAAAACCATTGTCAGATTTGATGTTTTATTTAAAACGCATACTTTGTATTATACAACCAATATAACCAAGACGTCTGTTAATCATTTTTCGCATTTCAAGTTTTTCCTGAATCGTATGTGCCTGGCCTGACCCAGTTATCCAGTTTCCCGACAAACGCGCTTCTTCGCGTCGCTTTGACAGTTTCGTGGGTAAAATGCGGCTTAAGCAGATGTCTTTTTGGCCGGTGTTGTCCGCTTCATCCCTTCACTGGGGCACTGAGGTTGGTTTTGGCAACATGACGCAGTTTAAAACGCCAATCTTAATTCTAATGCGGGTCCATACCACGTGCGGCATGTGAGGGGAGACTTGTGTGTGTTGCTTAAATGTACAAAAGGCGTGAGGTACAGCACAAATATTTTCTCCTGACGCAATCGCACTCTCAATACTGTTACTTCAAAACTCATCACACTGTTCAAGATTTTGAAATGGCTCACCATGCCATAGTCTTTCTATGATATTGCCTAGGCAGCAGGTGTACTAGCGTTCAACGCCCCTAGCGGTCGGATTGGGTAGTGCACATGCAACGCGATTTGAGGGTCGCAGTATCTTCTGTAGTGAGTGCAATGATTCATTTCAGGACTTTTTTTTTTTTCTTTTTTTCTTTTTTTTTCTTCTTCTTCCCCATCTAATGACATTAGCTGAACAGTACGTCTTGCAAAAACATGGGTTGGAAGGCATCACTGCTTCAAAGGTTTGATCCCACAACCCTTTTAGGTTTTTGGGTTCATCTCACCTGTTAATAAAATATTCATGTCATATTTCACTCCCTAAAGAAGCCGTTATATTGTGAGTAAAAGCAACTATTATTTTCTTAAAGCCAGTATTAACTGTTTGCAAACCGATATGCCTCATTCAGCCAGTTAGATCATCTGTGAAGAATGTAGTTTCCTGTTGAGTGTGTGTCAAAGGTGGCAGTTTTTCTTCTTCTACCACATTTAGCGCCATTTATCGATAAACACAATATTTAAGAACAAATTAACTGGAGAAGTGGAAAATATTGGTAAATAACAATGACCAAAGCAATTGTAGATCTTTTTATTTCTCAAATTTTTGCATAGAGAGACAGCCTAATTATTGAAATTATTTTATATTTTTCACTGGGACATTGTTTTTAAAGAGTTAAAAAAAAATTACCAACGTATTCTTATTGCATCTAATATATACTGATATTTTACTTGAACATTTACTTTGCTTTCCAATTTTACACACACACACACACACGTATATCATTTTGACTACACACGTGTGTGTGTATATATATTATATTTTCTCCTCAATTAAGCCTAAATGATCAAATATAGGTATAACCACAATTAAAATTTGGGGAAATTTTGGAGTGAAATATACCTGCACATTTTACTAGTAGGTTTCGCAAGAATCGGCCCTTTGCTCACTAGGCACCACCACTCCCTTTCACGTTTTGAATGTTTCCTTCGTACATTCTGTCAGTGTGATGTCAAATATGGAGGTGAAAAATGCCACTCCCTGAAACTAAAAAAGCAGGGTACCAGTCGGACTTGTTCAGTTTAATGTGTGCTGTCGCTCACAGGTTGGAGGTGACTAAGTGCAGTTGGGAGAAGGGAAACTAGTTCCTCTTCCTGCCAATCCAGAAGCACAGGTCTTGTTGGTTCCTTGACACGTTTGCGGTCTCCCTCACCTCTTCCCCTTCATCTTACAGACTCGTTCATTTGCATGTTGACGGTATGATATCACATCATAAGATCTTTTTTTTTAAGGTATAATGTGCTGACTTTGCAGTACCCTGAAGGTGAGTCATAAAGAGGAATGTATGAGGAAGAACCGAGAAGAAAGGCCCTGTGGTGTGTTCCTGTAGTAACCAGGCATTCCTCGCCTGAGTCGCTTACGGGAGACCCCTGGTGTCTGCCTTGGGAACTGCACCGCTGTGGTAAAGGTTGTAAGCCAGTGGTTTAGTTATTGTGCATGATGTTCTTGCAGCAGTAGAAGCACAGGCTTTTTTTAGACCATTGTTATTAGTCGTGAGATGTGACTCTCTCTCTCCGTTTTTTTTTTTGTCTAAATAATTCCAATCCTGTTCATTAGGGATTCTCATCCCCATGCTAATACTGTCAATTTTAGTGCATTAAAATGTATTATGTAATCCAGTATGAAGGCAAGAATATTTATAAAATATTGTGTATGTGCAAATGTTATTTTCATTTGTGTGTTATATATAAATATATATTGTACACCCACTCATGCTTATCTTTTATTTCGAACCCCTTTGCTCACTTTATCATGAATTATTTTTAAGAAATACTTAATTTTCATTAAGCAGCAATTTTTTAAAAAATTTTTTAGGGGTGACATGACAT